CTGTCTGGAAGAAGGTGCGGCAAGGCATCCGCAGCTCCCGCTAACAATCCCTCGAGAAGATAAGCAAACCTCATCACACAGTTCTGGATGGTCTGATTTGCCTTGTACTCCCGCTCTGCAGGCGAAGTAAGAACCATCAACGCCTTCTTTCGCAGACGTCGCGTTGGCACAATGTTGTAATCCCACCGCGTAGAAATTTCCTGCATCTCCGCAACAACAGCGTGACCAAGCAGCTCAATGAGTGTCAGAATAAACCCCACATCTCGCCTGGGTGAAGGACCCACCATGAACCCCTAGCCTCTGCCACGTAGTGCAACGTAGTGCAACGTCGGTTAAGAGCATCACTTCCTCAGCACAATCACGCGGGAACGTTAACGGCAACGCATTGGCTCCTTCATCCCCCGCTGCTTCTACGATGGGAGCGCCACCGCTACGCATCGACACCGCGCGTCGCAAACTGCACGAGGAATGAAGCTCCAATAGCAAGTAAGAGGCATGCGACCTTCGAGTGCCGTCGCGTCCACCGTGAAAATTATGCTCCACAAAAACATAAGCCCCCGTCGACGAAAAAAGTAAAACAGCATCCATGAGAACCATCGCCAACGCCTCAGGCAGCTGTTGGAGTGATAGAAACAATGCAGCATTTTATTGGCCCCAAATACTCGCCAGATGCTTCACCACATCCATCAATTCCAAAAACAGATTGACATCCTGCAAAGCGTTGAGGTTAGCGACCAAAAGCAACACGACCAACTCTAGCGTCCATGCAACGCACACTCTCGCATCAAGCGCAGCACGCCCACCCGTGATCCACCCCCGAAGTAAATCAAATAAACGGGTGGCATGCAGGCCGTCCAGGCACACCAATCAGGGCACGAAGCTGACTTGAAAGAGCTCCCGTTAGCACATCGGCCATCCATACTGATCCAACCTCCTCCTTCGCCTTCGTTTTTCCTCCAGTCTCCTTGAGCTTCAAAAGACTGTTGTTTGTGGTACGGTATTGCCGCAGCACTGCAAGAACCTCCTCGCGACGTGCGCCCCAAACCTCGAGAATCGTACGCTCCCAGCACGACGCCGTGATCGCTGCCTCGTGCACGCTGGCAATCGTCTCGGACTTCAATTTTGGTTTCTTGTCGGCTGGCGCTTCCCTCCCTCTTGAAAACGCGTTTGAGGGAGCAAGGCACCCCTTGCCGTGTCGTCGCAGGAGACAGCAGCAAAGCCCGTCTTTCGATGCATCGGGTGGGGCCCCACGCCTCACTGTCCCTTACTCTCATTCGGTGCAAGTCACATGCATCCTTGAACTGATGTGCCTGCTCTACGCTACGCTGTTCCGCTTGTGACGCCACCGCCAGTCGCTCGCATAACTCCCGCTGTAGCGCCACTTCAAGTCAAGCAGCTGCGCCTCTGTGCACATGTGCAGAGTACAGCCCGGAGTCTCTGTCGTGGTGAAAGCTGCTGACGCACTGTTCCCCTCCAACAGATGTTGAAGGGAAACGACGCACGGCAGCATTTTCCCCCGTTTTTCCTTCAAAATAGTATCGCAGCGCTGTACAAGCGTCGCCGGAAAGTAATAGGCAGACATTGTCGTCGAGGCAACTGCTTCTGCCATAACGAAAGATACAATCCCCTCGTCGTTGAGAAGCTTCTGAAAGGAAGCAAGCGCCTGCTCCTAGGCAGGCGGAATTCCTGTAGAGGTGGCTATAGCCTAGCAGAGTGGGCGAAAATGCTTCAACATCGCTGGCACCACGCGGCGACGGCACACAGCAACAGTCGGATACGATCGGCGTGTGTTGGGTCAGCGTGACCGCACACTGCGGCATCCAGAGCCGCCGCTTCTTCAACTCGTGCCATGCCGCCACCGCTCAACACGAAACTCATGTGGTACTTCCTGCCATTTGCCACATCCGTCCAGGCACGGCACCCGTCCATCTCCTCATTCAGAGTGGCCGCCAGTGTTTCATCCGCCACATCCGCAGCAGTGTCACCGCAGCCAGGAGCATGCCACTTCTCCAGAAGGAAAAAAAGGTTGGCGCGTCTTCGCAGCTCGCCCCGCTGGAGCGCATCCAACCCCAGTCGCCTGGCCTCTGTTGTGACGACAATGTAACGAAGTGCGGTGACCCATAAGGATGCCTCCTCGTGAAGATGATGCTTGTTGCATTCACGAATTGCGCGAGGCCATGATGCGGAAGATGCAGGTGAGGCAGAGAACCGCAAGGCATTAGCCGCTTGCACAGAAAAAACGGTGGCTGCACAGCCCACTTTGGCGGTGGCCTGCTCTACGCAGAGAAACCCCGATAACGCTGCTGTAAACAGAACTGACAGAAGGAATGTTGCATTTCCAGTTGGCATTCCATTCACCTTGCAGGAACACCACCGCCACGCATGCTGAAGCGGCACATCACAGGCACGTACGCATCCACCACAAAAAAAAGAAGAAAGGAACAAAAAGGAAACCACAAGAGTGTGCGTGCGAGACTGGAGGCAGTGCAGCAAACGTGTCCAGTGACGAACCTCTTCCCGCGTCCCCCCTCCGCAGCTTCCCTTTGTGCTACAGCCTACACTGACAGTAACAACACAGCAACGCGAGAGACACGAAAAAAAAAAAAAACAAGAAACAGACAGATAGAAAAAAATGTGTTGCGTATTGCAGGTATGGCCCGTAACTGCAACGCCCTGCAATTGCCAGGTGACGTCCACCACACATCCTACAAGCAGGCGAAGAGAGGCACTGAAAAGAAGGGGAAGATAGGCACAGACACACACACACACAGTCCCATAGAAACAAACAAACAAACAAACAAAAACAACGCTCTGAGGCTACTGCAACCATCAAAACTGCCTTCGTTGTGCTCCTACGCTTTAAAAAGCCTCGTTATTGTATTTATGTATTTTGTGTTCTTTTTTCTCTTCTTTTCTTTTCTTGTTCGTTTCTTTTCTTCGTTTTCTGGGTCCTTCATTCGCCCCTTTTCCTCCTCATCCTCCTCCCTTTGTGCACGCACGTACGTCACTCGCACCACGCCACCGGGTTGTGCTCGTTTTAGCCGTAAATTAAGTAACACACAAATCAAAACAAAAAAAACAAAACAAAAAAAAAAGAATGACCCGACGCACAAGTGAAGAGAAAAAAGTAAGAGTGCGAAAAACCAACATGAGTCATACCTCAGCTTCAACCCCCTTAAACCCCACACACTCACCCTCGCAAACGCGCACGCACAAGAACAAGCAACTACCCTGCAACGCTCCTATTGTGTTTGCACGTTATTCACACAACAGTGAGGATGCATGCCGGTTCGTGATTCGCCTCAGGCCGCTGCAAAAATAACAACAACAAAAAAGCGCGCAACGACAAGATAAAAAACATGCGGGGTGTAAATGGAAAGGACGGGAATGAGACCCAAAAATAAGGAGAGCCACAACTACAATGAAACAAAATAAATCAGGAGCACAAACTAGCGGGTGTCACAGTCTCGCAAGAACACTGGGCAGAAACAGCAGCATGCTCCTCCCCAAGCAATGGCAAAAGTCCCTTCTCAATTTGATCCACCGACGCACCGGGCGAAAACCGCGCCACGGGCACACCATTCTTATCAATGAGGAATGAGGTGAAGTTCCACTTGATGGCCTGCACGCCAGCAGCTCCAGTAAGGCAGCGTTTCAAATAGCTATACAGCGGATGGGCCTTGTCACCATTCACGTCAATCTTCGCCATGATGGGGAACTCCGCCTTAAAGCGTGTGCAAGCAAACTCCTTCACCTCCTGCGCCGTCCCCGGCTCCTGCCCGCCAAATTGATTGCACGGAAACGCCAACACTGTAAAGCCCTGGCCCTTGTACTTGTTGTAGAGCGTCGTCGCCGTCTCGTAGCCGTCCTTCGTGTAGCCGCACTTACTGGCCACATTGTAGATCAGTAGCGGGTGCCCCTTGTGCTGCAAGAGGTCGTACAACTGGTGGTCAGCGTCTAGTATCTGGAAGTCATAGATGCTAGAGTGAGTTGTCCCTGTCTCTTCTGAAGTCATTGTCCTCACGCACTCACACACACGTATGTCCCCCTGTTGCCGTATTCCTCTTGTCTGTACGTCGCTTCGTTGGGTACTATGTACCTTCGCAACTCCGCTTATTACGAATATATTTCCCTTTTTCTACGTATTTACAATTCCTTGCTATTTCACCTTGGCTCTCCTCTTCGTTGTTCAAGAGGAAGCAGAAGCAGAAGCAAGACAAGACAAAAACAATGCATCCCTTACGTTATCCTAACACACGCACAAGTACAACACACAAACACATACACCCACGGTGACGCTAGACGTTTGTTATGGTGGTCAGCGTGTAGTATTTAGAAGTCATAGATGCTAAAGTGAGTTGTCCCCGTCCCCCACCATAGACACCAATCGTCCAAGAAGCAAAACAGCAAGTGAGTGGCAGCAACATATCCACAGCAACATCACGGAAATGGGACGCTTTCGCCTATGCCGTGGGATATCATGCACAAAGGGTAAAGTATAAGGGCGCCACTCATTTGTACAGATCCACCGAGCCCACTTGTTTCCGCTTCACCACATGCCTCCGCTGTCCAAACACCGACACACACAAATGTCACACTGACACAAACAAACAATTAATAATAGTGAAAAAAAAGAAAAAAAAAGAAAAGAAAAAAAACGAAAAACATACAAAAAAAAAAACGGGGAAAAAATCCCCAAGACGTGC